GAACAGGCTTTGCTGGAGAAATGTTGTTAATGGCCTGTGCTCCACTGGGATTTAAAACGGGCAAGAGAGAGAGAGAGAGACATGGTACCAGTATTTGTTTCCTCACTATTGACTGTTGCCATCAAAACTAAAGTCAGTGTCAGCTCTATTACTTGATAAATTAGATAGTTGAACAAATTCTTGACCAAAATCTCATAACATCTGTAGTTTTCAGATTGGAAAATCATTTTGGGACTGGGATCGTTCATTTTCCACAACTTTAGATGCAATTGCAAAAAGCCAACTTCAACAACACTTGGCCTAAGAAACACACACGAAAAAGCAAATATTTTGTGTTATTTGTAACAAATGATGCTATAAAAGAACCAAGCCAGATCTAAAGTGCTTTCCCTTTACTCATAATTATGGGACTATAGATAAAGGCAGAGCGGCACTCTTCGGGAGAAGTGGTCACGGCCTAACTCCATAGAAATTTATATGCAAGATCGGAAACAAAAACGTGAGTCAAGTAAAAAAGCTGGCTGAGTTGCGAGGATGAAAAGGCCACCGGTATATTTATAGAAAAGGTTCAAATCCATGTTGTTAATGGCCTGTGCTTCACTGGGATTTAAAAAGGGCAAGAGAGAGAGAGATTGACTATTGACTATCCTCACTATTCAAACCCCGGGACTGCGCTTAGCTGGTTTTCTTCTTACCTGTCAAATCGTTACCAATCTGTTTTTATTAAAGGGCTTAAGTCATCAGATCATGCTCTTCTGTATGGGGTCCCCTAGGGCTCAGTCTTCGGTCCAGTTTTGTTCACCATTTATACTCAACCACTTGTCAAGGAAATAATAATAATAATAATAATAATAATAATTGCATTTATATAGCGCATATCCATGCTCCAGAGCTTGCTCTATGCGCTTTACAACTATCATTACCCCAGCAGACCCTCTGAGAAAACTCAGAAACATTCTCAGCTTCCGTGGAAGTAAAGAAGTAGGACCTACCAGCAGCGCCCCCCTCTCCCAACCACCCACCACGTTAGGACTTTCTGTGCAGAGAGTGTAAAACAGAATGTGAGACAGTATGGTGAAATCAGGCCCCCATCAAAATACAGAAATCAGAAAAATAGGTTTTTTTCCACCAGTTTGGTAAATTGTATCGATTTTGTATTAGTTTTGGGGCTCAACCTCTTGTATGTCCATATAAAAACACATTTCCATCCGAATGTCACAGAAAAACATAGATTAAAGGCACAAAATGAGTCATTTTCCTGTTTTCAAGGACTCTTTAGCTATTGAAGTTATCAAACTTTAGCGGCCATTTTCTCGCCAATTTCGCCACTGAAACCAGACAAAATGTCACTTCCTTCAATCGCGAATATCGTGAGTTCTATTCAAGATAGATGGATGTTTATTTCATTGAAAACAAGGCACATGAATCAGCTTTCAGATGACACCAATAACTCCACATGCCCCAAAATTGACGAGCGCCTGATTCCATCGCGTCGTAAAACAAATTATACTAATATCTCAGCATGGCTCATCATCCTCATCATAACCGTCCGGGAGGGCGTTGTAGTAGTGGTTGTGGAACAGGCTGTGGTTCCCATCGCCCCAGGGGAAGGGCCTGTTCCTGAGTCGGAGATGTGGCCAGGGGACAAACTCGTCCCTCTCTCTGTGCTGCTCGCCCATGAAGTAGGCGTGGTACCACACAGGGAGGATCACGCCCACAAAGCCGGCTAGGGTGGCGTACTTGAAGATCATGCTTGGGGTTATTCCTCCTCTTGGTGGCTCTGGCTGATGAACGTAAGGAGACGAGGGGAAAAATATGCCCTTGTGACTGTCTGTCGTTTTCGTTTGGCATCTCTGCTTTCTGGTGACAGCAGCCCGCAACAGAGCAGCTCCTTTTGGAAGTCGACCGAACCTAAACAACATGTCTAGTGTGCTGTTTTGGCCACCCTATGTCACAAATGTTTGAATGATAATGCACCATCATATTTATCAAATCTGTTAAGACTGTACATTCCAACTCGCAGTTTAAGGTCATCAGCTGACAAAAAGAAATTTATTTTACCATCTATGAAACTTAAAACAAGGGGTGAAAGGGCATTTGAATACCAAGGCCCCAAGATCTGGAATGCTTTATCAAGTACTTTGAGAGAGATCAAATCTTTTGATTCATTCAAAGTTCAACTGAAGTCGTTTCTGTTTTTAAATTAATAAGATGAATATTTGGAATAATTTTCTTTAGTCAGAACACAACGTTTTATGTTACTGTTGTATGTTGTACTGTATTGTAAAGCGCTCAGCGCCTGTGTACTTTATTCGGGGTTGAGAGCTATATAAATGTCATTTATTATTATTATTATGTTAAGACTGTTTTTCGGCACTATTTTACCTTTTTTTAGTCTGCTGAGAACGATTTTGGCAACTAAAAATGTCAGCTGAGTTGAAATAGTTAAGTATGACTTGAAATACCATTTCTATGCTGATGATACCCAAATTTAAGGTTCAACATTGTTTACCAACTTAGATGAACTTGTCCATCGTGCTGAAAATTGTATTGCCTTAGTGAAAGACTGGATGAACAAAAATAAATTGATGTTGAATGATAATAAAACAGAAGTCATTCTGGAAGGCAATGCAAAGTCTGTTAGAGAGGTTGACCATGATCACATTACAATTAGTGATGCAAAAATTGTATTTTCAAGAAAAGTTAAGAATCTTGGCATCTATTTTGATTCCAGTTTGTCAATGTCAGCTGAGGTAAATCATCTGATCAGCTGCATGTATTTAGAAATAAGAAAAATTAGTAAAATACGTCATCTGATCAATACTAAGTATATTGCTTCACTAGCAACTAGCTTAATTTTATCAAAACTCGATTATTGTAACTCCTTGTTATCAGGAATATCACTGGAGAAAGTTAGAAGACTTCAAACTGTCCAAAACAATGCTGCACATTTAGTTTTATGGAAAAGAAAGCGAGACTCTGCTAAACCTCTTGAAAAGGATTGTGTACAAGTTGGCCACCCTATGTCACAAATGTTTGAATGATAATGCACCATCATATTTATCAAATCTGTTAAGACTGTACATTCCAACTCGCAGTTTAAGGTCATCAGCTGACAAAAAGAAATTTATTTTACCATCTATGAAACTTAAAACAAGGGGTGAAAGGGCATTTGAATACCAAGGCCCCAAGATCTGGAATGCTTTATCAAGTACTTTGAGAGAGATCAAATCTTTTGATTCATTCAAAGTTCAACTGAAGTCGTTTCTGTTTTTAAATTAATAAGATGAATATTTGGAATAATTTTCTTTAGTCAGAACACAACGTTTTATGTTACTGTTGTATGTTGTACTGTATTGTAAAGCGCTCAGCGCCTGTGTACTTTATTCGGGGTTGAGAGCTATATAAATGTCATTTATTATTATTATTATGTTAAGACTGTTTTTCGGCACTATTTTACCTTTTTTTAGTCTGCTGAGAACGATTTTGGCAACTAAAAATTGTCACAAACCATTATTTTTGTGAATATCGAAATAATCGAACTTAGAAAAAAGCCCGGAAAAATTAATAAATACTCAGCCAGCTTTTTTACTCGACTACTGTTTTTGTTTCCAATTGTGTACATATAATATGTAAACATTTCTATGGAATTAGATCGGGACCACTTCTCCTGAAGAGTGCTGACAGAGCTATCCTTTTACTGAACTTTGAGCTTCTTAACGAGACTGTATGGATTTTGTGAGAATACTCATCAAACACACACAGGCGGGACCCAACTGAGCAAGAATTCTCATCAGTAGCACTGAATGAGTTAAGATATAAGATAAAAAACCCCATCAGTGCTCCCTAGAGCCTAATGATAATGGGAAGCTTGACTAACAGCCTAGACACAGTGCTCACATTACTGAAATCTGAAATGTCTTATCAGTTTTCAATACACATAGCTTTTGAAACTCAAGTGACAAGTCAAAAAGATTTTTAAAAGTTTTTCGATGCATGCAAATGCTAACGCACTGCTTCTTCTGCTTGTTGGGAATAAAGTATCACATTGGATATGATTACGAACTTTTGTTAAAATTATTAAAGATAAGTTCATTTTAGTTTTAGGTCCCTGGATTTGCAACTCTAATTTCACCTGTTCAACCCGCTATTTTCCAAATGATAATACACCCATTGCATGTTAATAATACTTTGATTTTGTTTGTGCTATTCATGACATCCTTGTATTTTTAGCCTTTGTTTGAACACTATTTCTTATGTAGTGTATCCTAGTAAAAACCAAACATGCATTCCAAAAGTCAGTGAATTCCTTCTTTTTAAAAAGTTATAATGCTTTGATGGAGAAATGAAGTGAGAATTAAGCTCTCTCCCTACAAGTGTTAAACCTGTAACTCATTCAGTGCTGATTGCTTCAGTGGTAAATTTCCTTTGCAATACTGAATACTGGGCAAATGTGTACCCACGAGGGGAATAAAGTGAGGATTTTCTTTTCTTGTGAACTGACAAGGATTCAACTGCATGGTCACTGTTGCACTATGTTAGTTTTTCCTGAATGTTAAAGTTTACTTGTGATGACGGTTTTACTTTCCATGCTTGCCTTAATCGTCATTGTAAAAGAAGCAAGATATCCTATTTTCAAAATCTGTGCCAAATTGATGTCTTGTGTAAATATGCTATTTGGAATTGTTTTACTGAAAGGATGCTATCATATCTATAAGTTAGATACTTCAAACTGGTTACGTGAGCATGTGCTTGGAGCTTAATCTTTATTACTATAATGTTAATCAGTAAGTTGGTCTCACTTTACAGAACTTATTCTTTAGCTTTAATAGTCTGAAGAATGTCCGAATATGACTGATATATCTTGATGTGTGTCTTGTGCGGAAAAAGAGTTTAGTCACATAATAAATGCAGATTAGCTAGGATTCATATTAATTTTATTATATCTTAGCTTTTTCTTTCAAGTAACCGTTCTTTCACTATATTGTTTTCTGTTGCAGTCAAAATGGGTGATTTTGCCTTCAAGAACTGTTTTGGTACTGACCACTCACAGAGGAATTCAGGTATGATAAAACACAGGAGAGTACTGGTATTTTGAAATGAAAATATTCCTTGAATACAATCTAAAGCTATGCGTTGATTGTTATTGACTATGAAAAAAACCTTTAACTCCATTGAATACATTGCAATTTTTGAAGCTCTCCGAAATACAAATATGAACAAGACATACATCCAATTATTGATAAACAGTTATGGAGATTTGTCAGTTTGAATCCATCTTGATCGGACAAAGGTGCACTCAGACAACTATATGTTGGCTATGTATGCTCTGCCATGGAATATAACTTAACCGTAAGAGGCCGTAAGACCAGAACTCCCCCCAAACCCAAGATCAAGAACGCCAACATCAAAACTTCCCTCATAAAGGAGACAGTGAAAAAGGAATGTGACCCAGTAGAACTGAAGACCGCGGCTCTCGAAGCAATTGACTCCTACCCTGGTAATTCCATCCATATTTACACTGATGGGTTAGCCTTCAAGGGGATGATTAATGCAGGCTTTGGAGTAAGAATAGAACGTCCTGACAAGACGTGTGAAGAACTATTTGATGCCTGTGGTACTTCTTGTACAAATTATGAGGATGAGGCCATCGCCATTGAAGCAGCAATCCTCCACCTGACCAATGTTTTCATTATTATATATCCAGACAAAATCAAGGACACTGTAATCTTCTCAGACGGAAAATCAGTACTCCAAGCTTAGGAAAACATGAATTTCTAAAGCCCTGCCTGCCTATCTATAGCTCAAACAATTAACACCATCATGCAGATGTATGCCGTCGATCTGACTTTACAGTGGATACCTGGCCACAGCAACATCCCAGGAAACGACAGAGCAGACACCCGTTCGAAGATGGGAACATCACAAACAAAACTTGAAAACCCAGTATCACAAGAGACAGTCGAGAACATCATCAAATGTAACCCCAAGGAATGGTGGCTGAATGGATGGGCATTGGGCAAAACTGGAAAAGCTGTATTTGCACACATGACTGCTCCCAACTCAAAAGATGCACTAAATTCCTTGAGTAGAAAAAAAATAAGTCAATATCTTTCACCTGCGAACACAACACATCCCATTGAATTCCTACCTAAATAGGATCCGCAAGGATACACCACTTGACTGCCTGTTGTGTGACTGCCAGGATGAAACAGTATCACACCATCTCTTTTCCTGACGTGCATTTAGCAACCTGCGTAGCATCTGCCTACCTGTCTCCCCACATATTAGAAATACTTTATACAGTGGCAAAACACAGCTGATAAAAACCTGTAAATTCATTGCCATATCGACAAACTGAAGGGTTAGAACCCAGATGGCTGTTGGATCAGAAAAGTAAAAGTAAAGTAAAAAATCCATCTTGACAACCATATGTCAGAAAAGTTTGCCATAAAAAAAAGAATGAGACAAAGAGACCCGTTAAGACCCCAATTTTTCACAGCAGCAATCGAAGAAATCTTTGAAACAGCATCACTGAGTAAAGGAATTTCAATAGAGGGAGAACATGTGAAAGGTCTGAGACTTCAGTTACTTTGAAGATACAGAGAAATATTTACTGACCGAAATCTGCCGATATCACTAAAAACACCAGTTTTCAATTAGTGCCTTGTCCCAGTAATGACCTATGGATGTCAAAACTTGTCAATTACCAGCAATATCAAAAGGAATTTACAGACCACATGGAGAGCAATGGAAAGGAAGATACTGGGTATAAGAATACAAGACCAAATAAAGCTCACCAAAAAATATGAGAAAAAAGAGGAGTGGCAGATATCCCCTAATTTATACTCCGATAAAATGGATATTGGATGGTCACATCGATGGAGTGAAAGATAACAGATAGACGAAAAGATGCACTGAATGAAGAACAAGAACAGAATACAAATCAAAAGGAAGACCAGAATGATGGTGGCAAGATAACACCAGAGAGCTGATGGGTACAACCTGGGCACGGAGAACAGCTGATAAAAAAAAGTGAAGGTCGTCATTTGAGGGCTACATCTTGCAATGGACAGATAACTCCTAGGGAGAAAAGAAATAAGGATTGTGGTGGATGGATTTTTTGGTGAGTTTTTAAGTGGTTTGTAGTTTGCTTTTCAAAAACAAGTTGTACCGCATGAATGGTGTCAAGCACAGATAGGCCATCACCACGAAAGCTTATAATTTTTGCAAATCACAGGAGAGGCTAAAAACTGTTTACTTTCATGCTCTCCAAGACCTCTTCAACTCTAATTTTCAGCATTTCTATTTGTTGAATTTTTTTTGTCATTCATTTGGAATGATGTAGTTGACATTGATTTACACTTAAGTCAAAAACCAGGTATTAAAAAAGTTGCGTTTGGCCCATTTGTAGGCAACACCATGGATAATATGCTTTGTAGGCTTCCCATAGCACCAGTTGATCTTTGAATGGTGTGTCTTTGCAGCTGATTCAGTTTCCAAGATTGTAACCAACTAAAATTAGTATTGATGCGGCAGATTCAGTTTCTTGCATAGATGGCTTTACTAATACTCCATTAGCATGTTGATGAATTTAAATAACATGTTTCTATAATTTTTTTCATAGTATTTGTCTGCAAGAATGGGCAAGAGTTGTGATTTAATATGTGGTTGATAAATAATTTATTAGCTTTGGTTTTTAAATTGTCTGTTTCTGAGGAAAATAATTCTCAAAAGAAGGGGCTTGTCAGTCTGAGAGGCAAAGTTCGATTTCTGGCCAGTACAGGCTTGATGGGTTGATAACTTTGTTTTTCACCCCTTCACCCAACCTTACCAACCTTACATGTCAATGGAGTTACAGCTGACTTGTCCTGAGATCAAGTGAGAGAACTCAGAAGTAGCAATGATTAAAAAGAGGATTCTTATCCATAGTATGACATTAATACCTCCCCCCTCTCTCTTCTTGCTGCATTTTTTTATAATTTGTCTGTGCAATGTTCTGGGAATGTGTGTCTTCACTGGGAGGTTTATTTATATAGATTTTAGAAATATGTTTCTGAAACGGTGATTCCATCATGGGCTGGTCTGCAATAGAATATAATATATATATATTCAAACTCCAGCCAGAAAAAGGTGTGTGCTGATCTTTGCTCTTTTACTCCAAGTTTGTTTGAAATAAAGAAAAATGGTTTATTGACATGTATTTTTAAAATTGCCTTTGTGTTGAACAAAGTTGCTATTATTCTGAGGTAATTCTCTTTCATCTCCTCAGATCTATGAGCCTGATGGATCCGCCATGATTTACTGGCATGCTTTAAGTGATTCTATGGGTATGTTGTTATTTGAGATAGTATCTGCTTTAGTTTGAATGTGTTTAAGTTTCATAGGTGTTGCTGTTGACCATAATTAGGTTCTTGAATTCCTGAGATGTATTAGAACATGGTTAATGTGAAGATTTGAGTTAATTTTTCAGTTGTTAATGAAGAGTCAACCAGATTTTTTAAACATGTAGAAAAAATCCTTTGAAGTAAATAAGACCTAGTAAATAAAAATTTGATTAATTTTAATGAATAGTGCGGGGAGAAATATGCTTAAATTTGAAAATTTAAGACACAACTCAATAGGTATAACATTTTGAGGTTGGATGGCCTTGTTCTCTCTTTTTAAAAGCTTTTTCATTTAAATGAGTTTTTTAACTTTCTTATTTACACATAATCCAGTTACTTAGACAAAATAGATTGATATATCACAAATATGCTCACACTTTTAAAATTTCATTTTCAGATAAAAGTAATTACGGCAAAGGAATTTGTGGTGCTGGTGACAATCTAATTTGTGTAGGTGAGTCCTGGTAGTTTCAAATGCTTTGATAATTTTACAATCAACAAAAAATCAAAATGTGCTGTTTTGCTCTCTATTTCAGTCATACTGTGATTCAGTGGAAATCGAACTAAGGCTTAACACTTTCCCTACCACGAGCCGCAAATCACGGACTTAGCCTCGCTGGACCGAGAAGCTGCAAAATACGGCTCGAGTGGCTCGCTATCTATTCCAATCCAGTTATGAAAAGATACAAAAGTCTCGGCCAATCCATGTTTTCAAAATAATAGAATAGACTTCCTATTAGCAGATACGAAAGAAAATATTGCACTGACAGACGATTTTTAGTCATTTCAGCGCTTTTTTTGTCCCCTTCGAAACGTAAATATGAGGAAAAAAAGCGCTCCCCTGACTTCAGTATATGTCTCATATTTTCACTTCTATATAAGGTACACATACATAACTTTCAGCATTTCTTTGCATTACTTGAGGCAACCTACCTGGGAAGTTTGAATGATGCTGTTGTTGAACTTTTTTAGTTATGACCTTTCAAAGCTGGAAAATTGTTGATTTCATATGACACCTTCGATATTGCATAGTCACTTTTAGAAACCCCATAGTAATATAATTGGAATAAATCTTCAATATTGTATCGCCATCTAATAGATTATTTTTAAACCTTCAGTTTGATGGGCCATAGGATATGGTTTGTGTGTGTTTAGTTGGATGTTTTGACATTTTCTTTTGGCGGGGTAGGGGCGTAAAAATAGGTCAGGGAAAAGCCCTGGGCCAGTGGTGGGTTTTGGCCTGGTAGGAAAAGAGTTAAAATGTCAGCAGCATCTGTTTTTGTAACGGCATTCTTGAATACAGCCATGGATTGTATCCCAATTTGGATACTTTTGAACTTGTATACCTGCTTAGATGGATCATATGGGAGATGTACATTAGATCTGTGGTCTTGTCTATTAAACAGTGTTGCTGTGTTGATAAAGAAAGTTAAACATATATAATATAGTGCTTTACTGTACGACAGGGGGTATAATAAAAGAGGAACCATTTAAAAGGCAATAACTTGGTCATCTTTGCACTAATTTCAACAAGACTTCAAATAGATGAAATTTAGCCAGGGGATGTGAATTGTATATATATACATATGAAGAGAATCAATCTAGGTGTTTGAGGAATATCAATGTTTAAAAATTTCAACCAAAATTAGATTGTTGTTGTTGTTAGCGATCCAGTAGCATCTGAGTGTTAACTCTTCTACATGATGCCATTCGGTAATAGTTGCATGTTTGTTCTAATTGTTGTCTTGAGGAGTAGAGGCAATTAGATGTGTGGGGTAGCTTGGGAAGAAAACATCCCCTTAAATCAGTTAGTTTCCTACAGAATGATGTTCCTCTGTCTCTGAGGGGTAGTCACATAGTGCAGCAGACTGCTTTACTCCAATTCGGTTGAGATGTTGATTGAGGGGTACATGTTGTGTTCTAAGTTGGAAGATTATGGATTGATCTCCCCTCCTCAACTCATTGATTGGATCTTTGACCAGTGGTTTATTCATGTGGCCATACATCCTCCTTCCTGTCGTACCTGTGGCCCAATGATTCATTCACTCTTCCTTGAGGTTTGGCTTGATCATTTGGCAGCAGGTGGTGTAATTCGTAGGAATTTCAGACTGAGGGAGGCTAGCTCCTTTCTTTGCCAGAGCATCAGCTCTTCCATTTCCCAGTATCCCAGTGTGGGCAGGAATCCATTGTAGGACTACTCTGACGTGGTGCCTACTTATCAAATTATGTAGACTCCAGATCAAGTGCAATATATCTTAGTTCACATCAGTCCCACTCTCAAGTGTCTCTAGTGTTGAAAGGCTGTCTGTAAAGATAACGATGTCTGTGGTAGCAAGTGGGTTAGTGTCAAACAAGTAGTTGATGTAGTTTGTTGTGTTGGTGATAGCCTGTTGTTCGGCAATGAAATTGGAGCAGAAGGACCCGCTGGAATTAAAGACTTCTTTTTTTATCCCACTGGGCACCAAAATTAGATAAAATGCAAAACACTATTTTAAAAGTGTTCAGCCATAGGGGCGTGATTGGCTTGTTCTGGTTTTGGGATGAGGATTGAGGATGGAAAAAGGACAGCAGTCGCATCAGATGGGTACCTCACCTTGCTGAGAAAGTTTAGGAAAATTTTGGAGAGGAAAAGGTATTACACTGTTGAGGAGGCCTTGTTCCTGTAAGTTGGGCCACTCTCCACACGTCATGAGTGGACCTGGTATGGTTGCAAGAAAGGTTTAGGAAATGCCTTGTAGGCCATAAACTTACAAATGAGTGGTCACCACATTCCCCAGGCTTGAACTTGGGAAGCAGCTCCTGGCTGCTGTTAAGTGGAGGTTGCTGCTTACTGAATTTTTACGGAGTTAAATTACCGGCACAATGAAATTATAGTCCATTCTTGTTGTTCACACTATTTTTGAATCATTGAAAACAAATTTTGTTAGACAGTTTATTGGAAAAGGAAGGTTGCTGTTAGAGGTGAACAACACAGACGTCCCTATAACAGACACACTTACCTATAATCTAGGCAGCATAATCAAAACTGACGGCGGCACAAAGGAAGACATCATGAACAGACTCGGCAAGGCAAGATCTGTACACAGAAGCATGATCAACATCTGGAAGTCAGGACAATTTAGTATACAAACCAAGTTAAAGCTGTATAACAGCTGTGTATTATCCACACTCCTATATGGAGCTGAATGCTGGAGGATGACTGATCATGACCGTGCCAAGCTATCTTCCTCTTCATACAACCAGCTTACGCCAAATCCTCAGAATCTTCTGGCTCGACAAGATCTCCAACGCAGATCTGTTACGTAAATGTAGGCAAGAGGACATGATCATCATTATAAAAAGGAGAAGATGGAGATGGATTGGACATGTTCTGAGAAGAGAACCAGACTCTATTGTGAAGACTGCCCTCCACTGGACACCCGAAGGACGTCGCAAAAGGGGCAGACCCAAAGTAACCTGGAGACGCACAGTAGAGTCTGAAATGAAGTCCTGGAATCATTCGTGGGGAATGCTGACCAAGATGGCCCAAAACAGACAGAGCTGGAGATCCTTTGTTGCTGCCCTAAACACCAGAGGGCGTAATGGGTAGGGGTAGTAAGCTGTTAGAGGAAAAAGTTGCTGTTAAAGTGAGTTATTGATATAGGAAAATTCTGTTACATAAGCTTAGCTTGCTGCTAGGCGAAGGTTACTCTTATTTAGGTTGCTACTAAGAGATACACCATTGAAATTCTGTCAGTCTGTTTTGATTTTGCCAACACTGTAGGACTTTCACAGTGTCCATGTTCTTTTCTTTCACTTATACTAACAATGCTAATTATTCTGAAGAAACTGAAGGGTTTTCACATTTTGCTTAATCATTATATTTTTTTCATTTGCCACAATTAGGTACAGAATCTGGTGCTATTCTAGTTTTTGAGATACCTCCCAAGGGAACAAATGTCACGCTTTTTGACACTGTCAAAGGTTTGTATTGTATGTGCACTTATTGTTACAGTGGAGTCCACTTATAACGAGTCTGGAAAAAACGAGAAGTCTGTTATAAAGGCACTATTCTAAATCCCCGTTTTTTTCTCCTCTTTACCTTTGTAAACAAAATACTGCTATAGCGCTATCAGACACACTTATGAGTCGGTTATAGCGGAAAATTGCTGTTGCTGTGCACATGGCATAGGCCAATTATACATAATGCTAGACCTCGCCAGTTGAGAAACTTGTTGCTGATCTTGCGAAACAAAGAAAAGGAGAGCCCATGTGCGTCAACAATAAAGGCCGGAGCAACTGAGTAGGGAGGGTGTGGCATGCGCAGACAAGCAGAACGCATCGCGTGATAGGCCAGTTTAGATTATCAAGGCCTGCCATGCCTCTCACTTCTCCGATGCGGGGATGGAGAGGTCACAGCAATGTGATGAATGGAGCGAATGTGTGACGTGCGCAAGCAGACAGAATGCACCACAGGGTCGGGGGGGGGGGGGGACACAGCAGACGAGTTAGCCCAGAGCCCTTTCTTTCTGGTCGCCAACGTCGAGCTGTCAGTCCACATCGCTATATCTAGCTCTAGAGAAACAAACCTGATTCAATTTTTGATCAAGTAAGACCTAGAGGTCATGTTGAAACAAAATCATCATCAGGGGAGATAACAAAAGGAAAAACAGAGCACCAAACTCATAGATTAGGCCTACTTTACAGTTTCCCTTGAATTTATTACTGGATCCCTTATAGCGAGAATCCTGCTATAACGGACATTTTGCTTCGGTCCCCTCCCTCTCGTTATAACAGGATTCCACTGTATTTATTGATTCTTATTTTTTTCTGCCTGCATTTTTGGACATCTAGAGTAGGATCAAATGATCTTAAAGTTTGTCTGTTAAAATACTTATGTTGTTTATCTAAAAAAGAACGGAAAAAAGTTACTTTATTGCAGTGCTGATTAATTTGAAAAAAAAGTTGTTTGTTTATTCTATACATTTATAGTAAGTATTAGAAATGCTGTACCAGTACTTAAATCTTCAAATTCCCATTTTGTTGTGCACGTAAAACCCAGGTGAATATCATTTGCATATATATGTTTTCTCTTTCTTCTTCTTCCCTGATTTTATTTTCACTAGCAATAGAACAAGTAGCCCAAAGTCAACATCTTGTATAGTTTTTAATGAGGTATCACCCCTTGTTAAGATTTCGGACTGTGGAATGAAGAATTGTAGGTGTCCCGGACCTAAACATGCTCACAGGAGTGGGTGTTTCATGGGTGCTCTGACATGGTTTGTTCCTTGTCCCTTTGTTGTGTTACTTTTATCTCAACCTATTCCCTGCAAAATATAGTCTTTATTCTGCTGGATTTTCATAAAACTCCAACTGGACCCATGCCTACGGTAAGACTTCAACTCTCATATTTTCTTTCCACTTGCTCAGGACACAAATCTCCTATAACAGACTTGGCTGCAGAAGGCGAGTTCATGGTCAGTGCTGATGACCTGGGCACAATCATGGTGTGGCGCTGCTCTGGGTCAAAGTTTTCTCAAGTGTCATGTGTCAGGGGGTGTGGGTGAGTTTGTCAGTGCTGTCGGGGCATGCACAAGGAATATATGGGCAGGGCGCCCATATGATTCTTTTGTGTTTTTAACTCTGTACTCTGTATGACTGTTACATTTTCTAAGACAACCCTAAAGATTCTTTTGAAATCAAAGGTTTTCTATGAATGAAAACCTATTATAGCTCTCATTGAAGTGATCCACCAAAACAATTAATAGATTTTTGTTTTTCATTTTATTAGATTTTTATAGAGCCTTTTTTTATCTACAAAATTCTTTTCATTGCGATATTGTGTATTTCTCAGCTATGTAGTCATTCCTGTAAACATTTTATGGTATAACATTATAATTCAACATTTCATGCCTGGAAATACAACTCATATGAAGCAGTGACAGTTGTACTTGCTTTTGTGTTAATGTTTGTTGTAGATGAAGACATTACTTATGACAGGACTCTGTGTCATATAAACCGAATTGAACACAGAAGGAGTGATAACAGTAACTACCTCCACCTCAAAAAATAATCTTCAACCTTTTTAGTTAAGACACAGCAGTTAAATTTTCACCTGAACAGAATCGTGACGCAGTATCCTCCTTTTACCTGCTGTATTATCATTACTGTTAGACAGTGGTTCACCTTTTTCACTTTCTTGCTTTAAATAATGTTAGAGCTATCTTTTTCATCTGAGAACATACACTTATAATGTTCTTTTCAAGCAATTCTCCATATATTTTTTTATATCTTTTATTTATGAAGATGATGCATGCATGGTAAACACAGTTTTTTGTTGTGTATAAAGACATTCTATCATCATGCTTTACCCTTTTGAACTTTTGCTTTGTCTTTTTTTTTTCTGAAAGGGTCTTGAAAATGTCATTATTATAAAAAATGACTGTTTGTATTTCTGCACTTCAGATGGCCATGCAACAGTGTTGCAGTGTGGAAAGACGTTGTTGTGGGCGGGTTTTCCTCGGGTCACATTCGAGTGTACAATGCTGCATCTGGAACCCTGGGAGCTGAAGTCACAGCCCATGCCAGATCAATCAATGCAGTACATGTTGCATGTGAAAGTGGAATGGTACAACATTCTTTAATTCTAAGACACGTATTTGAAAATAATGGTTTTGACCTAGTTGACCCCCCCCCCCCCCAGGGCCGTGCTGCTCACTGAAGTGTCTTTAGGCCATTCCCAAAGGGGGGACATTAACATGTTCTTATGCACAGTAGAATTGTAAATGGGCTGATTCATCAAAGTCATTCTCATAACTGTGCCTGAACTGCAACAGGGAACTGCAGATTTTTCGTTCCTAATCCTTACTATCGTCATTTTCCTCTACTTCTTTTGTACGTTTGTCACACTCTTGTGACCCGTTATTTCCTGGGTGCCTTGATAGTTGAAGCAGACTTTGTGCTGTTGAAGCAAGAGAGATGAGCAGAGTAAGCCTGATTCCCTGTAAGGACTTCTCTGTTGACATCCACCCCTTGGCGTTCATATGACCGTATGCAGTTGTGAGCGCCGTAAAACCTCTACTAAAACAAACAAGACTTAGTTGGCACAAATAGGTCATTTCAGAAATGCAGCACTTGGCCAAGGGGGTCAGAGAAACGAAAAGAAATGAAGAAAGAGAACTGAGGTGATGTTCCAAAATCAATATTGCACATAAACATTTGAAAACAGATGTACATATGTACCAAAATTATACCATTAGAAGGGTTTTGTAGCATGTGATATGTAGCGGGTTTGTCATTTTCTCCTCAACCCTTTGGGGGAGAAAATACAGACTGTATGAAGAAAACAAAGGCTTTTTGTTATTTGATGAAAGTAGACATTTTTGTTGACCTAAAGGAATCTATATGCTTATTAGTACGTTTATCCATAATAAAATATATCAGTCTGCCTATTGTTGTTGTAAATTATGTGTTTCTTAAAATTGGAAAGTAAGACTTGGGTACAGTCTGTATCACTACTAGTAAAATGTTCATAACTAATGGATGGAGTTTCTTCGCTTTAATACTGAAATCAAGATGCTTTAAAATATTGATCAAACCTTTTTTTTTAAACTGACAAATAAGATTACCTGTTCAATAATACCAGAATTATTCCTGATTAGGAATGTGAAGTGAACTTCATATAGATCACTTTGCTTTTCTGATTTTTTAAAATTTGATATTATTAGTCTAATACATATATTGTATGTTTTAGCGAGCTCTGAGCATAGAAATTGAGTTTAAAACTGTAGCAACAGTTATGTTATGTACAAAGACAGTTATTTCTACATTTGTTTTTTTCTTTCCTTGTGCAAGGTACAAAAACAGAAATTTATTTGAGGTACCGTACCTTACCACACAGTTAAAACTGGGTATTGTGGAGGTAGTTGGCTTGACTTGCTGTTTGTCATATTAAGTGAAACATTGTGATTTTTAAAGACCTGATCTTAATAAAAACCTTTTTTTTCTTGGCTTGATTTCAGCTTTTGACTGTGAGTGATGACACATTTTTAAAAATATGGCAGCTCAAGACAGGGGCTGCGCCACAGGTGAGTATTTTAGTGTTTCTTTATTTTATTATTAATGTTGACTTCCAATATAGTGATTTGAAATGTGATGGTGAGATCACTTCATAAATGAAAAGTTACTGACTATATTTATGTATTATATGATGTATCATCTTGCTTTCTGAAAGTCGAAAAAGGAGTAAGAAAAGTTGTCAGTAATTTATGAAGTACTCCTCCTCTCACGAATGTTGCATGCAAAGTTTTCATTAGACTTTAGTTTTTTAAAACTTTTGTGTCAGGAGTGTTGAGCAAGCTGAACCTGTTTGGCAAATTTGAATTGTGCTTCTGATGTCATTGTTTTTAGTTTCATTTTGATACCTTTTTCTTGATAGAAATAGAGGTCAGCCTGTGTAGTATAGAGAAGGTGAATGAGTGGGTGGGGGGGGGGGGGGGGGGGGTGTGGTGGTGGTGCTTGTGTTGACACTTTGCTTCAACTCAGTACCTGCTGTTTTGTTTTACTCAATTGACCAAAACTTGGACCGATTTAAGGGAACGTTTGCTCAGATCATTGTCGTTTCCACACTGTGCGATCCCTCCAAAGGAAGATGCTTAGGACTTTGCTAAAATCCCTCAGCTCACTGTTATTTTCATTTTTCTGTCCCTTGATCTCACAGGCATACACAGTTACTGGCACTTGGATGCAAAGGGGATATAGTATTGGTTATAAAATGGGTGCTGATTGGATGGCACCCTATATTCCAGAGAGTATTATGCTCACTTCCATCTGACTCTGTTCTGAGATAGTTTTGTCTTGGTTTACCGAGCGATCATAATAACATTTAAAGAAAGAATCAAAGATTGCCCTCCCGAAATGGAAAACATTTGCTTATGTGCTTGAAGATAAAAATATAAGTTTTGACCAGCTTTTTACTTAATATTTTGCAATAGAATTCTGGCTTTTGTCTATGTAAAGATTGATCTTACCTTATTTTTTTCTATATCTCCAGATTGAACATCGATACAGTGAGTGTGTGACTGACTTGCAACTTGTCGGAGGCAATTTTGTCGACAAACAAGGAAGAGCTGTGTGTATTACTGGCTATGACAGCAATGAAATTCAATTTTTCATTAAAGGCTGACAAAGATGTTCTGTTTTCCTTACAGCAGAGAATATTTTGCTTCAGTGAAAGACCCACAGAACAGCTACAGAGAATGTGATCAAGTGCGAACTAGGCATGATGTGATAAAATATTTAAGGAATGTTTGTTCTAGCTCTTGAGTGTTACTAGAGTGAGTATTATTCATTTATTGTGATTCACACAACTGTGTTCTTTTGAAGGAATATTTTTTTCTGTATTGGAGTAGTTTGTACTTATTATGTTTCCAAATTCTGTTCTATTTAGAGAGCTTCATAATTTCAATACCACAGGCAATATCTTACTTGGAATCTTATTTAAAAAATAAGTATGTAGGCCTGTACATTTTTAAAGTTCATTGTGAATGAATATTTGACTATAAGTTTCTCTAGTACTTGTTAATGAAAAGTCTGTCCTCAGTTACAGCGTACACCCTGAAATTTAGGGTGAGCTGGATTTGTCCTGACTATAAAGCTTCTCATAAAGACCTGTTTTGTTCTGGACCTTTGTATCTGAATGATTGGCCCAGCTGCTCTTACTGTTGGTATCTTGTTGTCTTCATGAGAGCAGAAAAAAACTATTACTAGTATTTGTGTGAGACATGTAGGTTGTTGGTCAGGGTTGTAATTATATTGGTGACTGTGAAAACAAAAAGTTGTTATGAAGGGAGTGTGCTCTTTTGTCCTATGTATAACTTGATCACATTTGATTTTCATGTAATGTTGTTTTTTCGGACAAGATTTTTCAATCTGTGAAACAAATTACAAGGACTCAATAAGTAAACATGTGTATACTTCGAGACTTTTTCATTTTTGTCTATTATTTTCTCTCTCTCTCTCTCTCTCTCTCTCTCTCTCTCTCTCTCTCTCTCTCTCTCTCTCTCTCTCTCTCTCTCCCTCTCTCTCTCCCTCTCCCTCTCTCTCTCTCTCTCTCTCTCTTTCTCTCCCTCTCTCTCTCTCTCTCTCTCTCTCTCTCTCTCTCTCTCTCTCTCTCACACACACACACACACAGACACTAATTTTACTAATAAAGATCACTTCAATAGGGTGCACTTCACAGAAAAATTTAAAAATTGACAGCTTACAAGAGACACATTTCTTACATACCAACCCATTCAATCTCCAACAATTCTTTCAATTACAGATGCACCCGAACTATATCAACAAGCATGTTCTGACAAGGCAACACACACGCAATATGACAGTCATTGTAGTTGCTGATCACACATGTCTTTGGAAGAAGAATCAAACTAGCTGGTAAAATAAGATTTAAATAAATGTGTATAGCAGTTTTAAATGTGGCCAATGGAGCCACCTCTTTTAATGCAGTAGGAAGAAATTCCACACCTTGATAGCAGCTGTTGAAAAAGCCCTACCTTCAGTTTTGTTAATTTTCCCAAGGCAAAATTGTAAGTTGACTTTTGTAAATTTTAGACTTGAAGGTGCAAGACTGCGTACTGGGTATCAAGAGATGCGAAGACCTACTTCTCTGTCTGTCTGTCTGTCTGTCTGTCTATCTGTCTTTCTCTCTCTCTCTCTCTCTCTCTCTCTCTCTCTCTCTCTCTCTCTCTCTCTCTCTCTCTCTCTCTCTCTCACACTCTCTCGCACTCTGTTTGTCTCTTTTTCCTCCACTCCTCCCTTTTTCTTTTTTCCCTCCCTTGTTGTTAATCTTTTGTAACTGCATGGCTACTTTCTGACTTGTTTGCCTGTCTATCAGTTTATCTTTGTCTGTTCTGAGAGTATTTAATTCTGTGAGGGTGTGATAGAAAGTGAAAAGCAATACTAATATGGAAGAGGACTAAAAAGAAAAACGTATTCATGCATCTTGCACATGTGTTGATAATATTGAAAAACAAAAATTCCAAGAGGGTTTTTGTTCTGTCCATTCTAATATTTGTTATCAAATTTACATGTATACTCAATGATTTTTTGTGAGTGTCAAAGTATGCTAGTGCTAGTAAATGGAGCTGATCTTGATAAATTGTGCTGATATCTTATTTTAAGATTGCGACCTGCGCTCAAATTTCTTAACACTGTTTTATTTCAAGTGTGTATTTAATCATTAATTTTGTGTGTTAAGGATTTGAGTGTGTTAGGGGTGGTCCTGCTTCCTTCATATTCATCTGTAAAGGTCTACTCTGTTTTTTGTTTTGTTTTTCATCACCATTTTTCTTCTTTACTTTTATCATGTTCTGTTTTTTTTTTAACCCAAACAAGCAATTGAATGAATGAAGGAATGAATAGACTTTTGCAGCTATAGATTTTTATTTTCTTTTGTTCTGAAGATTCTCATTGTTGTACCTTTCGTCTATGATTGATTAGTCCTAGTCTTTTTTAACGAGATGTAGTTCGGTTTCTTCTGTAGTAAGAACAACTATTTTTGCTCAGTAGTCACCACCTATAGGACTTGCTCTACTGAAGTTTGATAAGTGTTAAACTTCCACTTTAGCTTGATTTCGTATGATATACAACTGTACAGAAACTACTTTTATGGAAAGTAAATTATGAAGTGCTAAATGTGCAGAAGAATGGCAGTACGTGGTAATTGTAAAAGTATGTGCGCAAAATGTTATATAACCGTAGGGAAACTTTATTAAACCTTGTTGCTCAACTGAAAATAGAGGAGAGGGTTGTCAACAAAGAGGAGAGGCGACAGTGGATATAATTTAAAAAAATATGTAGGGCCTATAGATTTATCTAATAGACAGATATGTGCTTTAATTTTCTTTTTTTCAAATCCTGTTTTCTTTGTTCTGGTGCTAGTGACTAGTGTGTTGAAATTCCTAGGGGTGACTGAGATGACTCCTCTCAACTGGGATGTCAAGTTAAATGTGTTCTGAATGTTATTTTGAGCAAATTAGACATGATTGTATTATCTGCTCATTTACTCCCCTTGGTTGCATTTATTGTGTTCTTTCCCTTTGACCTGGCTGTTACACAGCTGTCTCTTTCAGCCTTGAAATTCATGTAATGTTAAGACGTATGCTTGTCTCTGTTTGAAATGGCATTCGAAGCCATTCTAACAGTTATTAGGTGAATGTTTTAGCTGTTTTAGCTGACGGAAGATATGTCTGTTTTGCATTCTAAATTTAAGCTCCTACAATTTCCTTATAATTTCCCTTCCTTTGTAGAATTGAGTGCTTAACTCCCTTACTTACCTGGGTTTGAAGCTGATGTGCTAATTTGGCACTTTTGCCAGATAGAGGATGTAGGTCTGTACGTGTAGATGCTTTTAGGAGGTTCTTAGATGTGTTTGGTGAATTAAAAGGCTTTGGGAATGTGAGTACAGTTTGAATTTTATATTGTACAGTTGTTAGAAATTGTACTTGTAAAATTACATTGAAATCCGTAACTTGTTTGAAAAGATCTGGTGTCTCTGACCGAGTGCTGAATTTACAACATACAAGATTTCCCATCAGGGCAAATCTCATTGATCTGAAATCTTTTTCTCACTTCTAAATTTTGTTTGTAGATATCATGATCTCACAAAGGGTAACCACCATTTCAGTCTCCTCAACTGGTGTATTCCTCAATGTAATTAAACTACTACTTGAAAATCACCTGCGTTTTGCCTTTGTTTAATCAGTGTTCTGTTTTGAATGTTCGGTGCTTATGTCATTTTTCTTACAATTTCAATCCTAGCCGTACTTTTGTTTTACTATCGTATCCATACGGCGTGGGGAACTCTGTACCACCACTTTCCAAAGAGGAAATTTACTGGTTAATCCAATTTGTACGCTTTGCATAGCAGTCTGTCAAAATGATTTTTTGAGAGATACTGAAAGTAATCTTTGCACTAGAAGTAATCTTAAATGTGAAGAATGCAACCCCTGGGGTACAACATGACCTCAGGCATACGGATAGGGTTAAAGAATGTCTCGAGTCAATCTTTGTATGTGGAACACATGAATAGAGGGTAGCCTAAAAAAGTTATGAATAGCCCCCCCCCCCCCTACTCTGCCGTAAGCTGACAAAACGCCTTTTTTCATTTTGGCGCCAACATTTTTTATTTGTTAAAGTTTTATTTGATCAGTTACCCTACTTGTGTTAAAAAATCAAAATGAAAGCGTGATTAATTTTTGAATAAATTAGAATTTAAATTTCAGAAGAACTCTATTTAAATGGTTATGCTGACAAACAATCACCTCCTTTTCTCAAAGCTGTTGCGTATAAAAAAGGGGTTTTGCTAGCTTCTGGCAGCACTCTTTATTGATGTTAGGACCACCAAGGGATCCTTAACATGGGCCACTTGCACACGGGACCTCCGAGATTTTTTTGCCCTATCCGAAAAGGCTATGTATTAGATCAGGGGTGTGGCTGAAATACAGCAGTTATAGAAGGAGCCTGGAGTAGCAGTAGAAAGAGCCAGGAGCACAGAGAAGGGGGGCAAAGGAGGTGAGAGGGTGGGGGAAGAAAGTGGAGACGAAAGCAGACGACATAACATTGTTAGAGAGCATGAAAGAAGGTGAAAGGACCAAAAAAATTGAAAATAAATTTTCCCGTTGCATTCCGGATTCGAACCCGCGACTTATTGAATGTGAGGCAAGCACCGTAACCTCTCGACCACGAGAGCCCCCTCCCCCCCCAGAAGCCCTGTTTTGTACATGATGTACTTGTGTGTGAACATGGTTGCCCTGGCTGTTTTGGATAGATTCTAATATGCTCTAACAAAAGTAAACATAGTGCACTGGTGTACTAATGTTTCAGGAGAACTGAGCACTTGTGTTCTCATCAGTGGGTGATTAGCGGGTGCTCTAACGTGGTTTGCGCCTTCTTTCCTGTCAAACATGTCTTCCTTTATCTCTCCTGCTTTGCTGTGTTTTTAATTCTTTTATAACACCTCTAAATCTCCCCACAATTTGACCTAATTGTGTTGCAAGTGTCGTAAAACTCTTACTTAAACAAACATGTTTTCATCAAGTGGCTTCACATTAGATCTTTTAAATAACCAAAGTGACTGTTGGTGTAGAAGTCACATTTTATCAGAAGTGGAGCAAAGAGAATGAAGGAAAAGTACAATTATCAACAGTTTAGGAATTGATAAGAACTAAGGCTTGCTATACTTTGCAGCACCTGTATATTTTTCTAGCAAAAAGTTTCTTTTCTAGTCCACTTATTACTGGATGGCGACAGTAAGGAGATTACAAGAATAGTTCTTCTGTTGCCATCTTTCTCCAATGTCAACCAGGCCATGAAACTGACTAGCATAATTAAACCCAGTTGACAAATGGAGGTTTTACTATCCTAGACATTTGATTTTGCTCAGCCGTCAGTAATGCAAAAAGGCATGTCATTAACATCTTGAAAGATTCACACTGTCTGCACCCCCCCCCCCTTCCATCTTTCTTTGTTTGTTGTTTCCGAAAGACTCTCAATTTATTTATGATTGATAATGCAGACAAAACTAGCGAACAAATCTGTCTATTTGTTCATTCTGTTCTTTTACACTCTCCCTGTCCCATTTCAGTCGGGTCTCCCTACCTGAGCTTGTTTCTGACATGTTATAAAACTAATGATATTCTGGTAAGCGCGGTCTTCATGACATAATGATTGACAGGTATGGAGGAGTGGACAGGGAAGCTTTGTGTGCAGTCTGATGTGACGAGGGGAGAGTCTGTGTATTCACTTTGTGTCTGAGCTCGGGGGGCCTCTTTGATCTTTTAAGCCTTGTCTGTTGAGTTGTTGTTCTCACTGTGTTTTTTACTTCTTGCTCGTTACTCATCTTTTCAAGCTTGTTGTAGGAAAACGAGCTGTTTTAAAAGTATTTGAAATGAAAACTAGTGGCTAGTCTGATGTTTCCTC